TGGGGAGGGCTACCTTATTTCTTCCGGCCCGATGACACTTTCTCACACCACTCATCAATTAAATCAGCACACAGCGTATGGTCCCAGTCTGCAACCAGACACATGCAGCTGCTGTTGCCTTTTCACCTCCATTACCCTCAGGAGTAAGAAATCAGCTAAAGTCACCACTGCCTGTGGGAAACAATGCCTGTATTCAATTGCCTGACTTGCAAAGTCTAGTGCAGGGACCGGCAACCTTTGGCACGTGGCCTGCCAGGGTAAGCACCCTGGCGGGTCGGGCCGGTTTGTTTACCTGCCGCGTCTCCACGTTCAGCCGATCGCAGCTCCCACTGACCGCAGTTCGCCGCTCCAGGCCAATGGGGGCTGTGGGAAGCGGCAGCCAGCACATCCCTCGGCCTGCGCCGCAGCCCCCATTGGCCTGGAGCGGCGAACTGCGGTCAGTGGGAGCTGCGATCGGCTGAACGTGGAGACGCGGCAGGTAAACAAACCGGCCCGACCCGCCAGGGTGCTTACCCTGGCAGGCCACGTGCCAAAGGTTGCCGGTCCCTGCACTAGACTTTGCAAGTCAGGCAATTGAATACAGGCATTGTTTCCCACAGGCAGTGGTGACTTTAGCTGATTTCTTACTCCTGAGGGTAATGGAGGTGAAAAGGCAACAGCTGCTGCATGTGTCTGGTTGCAGACTGGGCCCATACGCTGTGTGCTGATTTAATTGATGAGTGGTGTGAGAAAGTGTCATCGGGCCGGAAGAAATAAGGTAGCCCTCCCCAGAAACTTTTGGCAGGGGACTGAAGATTACCTCCAGAAAAGTTTCCTCGAGATCTCTCTGGAGGATTCACGGGACATCCCGGTGCACACAAACAAACTGTTTCACAGGGCCCCCTCTGCCTAACTGTGCCGGGGAATGAGAAGCAGATAACCAGTGGAGGTAGAGCAGCTATTTCACTACCTCTTGTAGCACAAACAAAAAATAGTAAATGAGAAGACATGTTCCTGCAATAGCAATGCAAACTGCACACTTACCAGAGGTTCTTTTCTCTGCATCATGCTCATCTATGCTCCAGGATTAAAAACAGCTCCTGGGTCGCCATGGCTCTGGATCCCCTGGTCGCCTGTCTCCCCCCCGCCCCCCCATTCTGCTCCTCATCCAACACCTCATCTTCAGGATTGACCAAGGCCCGTGACTCCGACTCCTCCTATGTATTAATGGGGTCCTTGGCGTTGGAGGTGGGGTCACTGCAGAGAATAGCATGCAGCGCCATGTAAAAGCAGCATGTCTGCAGCGCCATACCAGAGCGATGGTTTGCCTCCCTTGCCTTTTGGCATGCATGCCGCAGTTCCTTCACTTTTACATGGCACTGCTGTGAGTCCCTGTTCTAGCCCCTCTCCTCCAGCCATGCCATGAGCGATCTGCTCATAGATGTCCACAATGCTACCACTGGATGGGAGCTGTGCTGCACAGCCTCTTGTCCCCACAGATCCAGGAGCTCCATCACCTCCTGTGCAGTCCAGGCAGGAGCACATTTGCTGCATGTTGCCGGCTTGCTCAGCTGGGCAGTTGCTAAGTGAGCTCTCTGCGCCAAGCAAACAGAAAATAGAATTTCAAAAATTTGCAGGCCTTTCACAGGGGAGAGGCATGTTCCTGTGTACCTGGCTGCCAAGCAGCGGAGTTCAAAAAGGTGACCAGCGTGGTCATGGTGGGACATTGTGGGACACGTCCTGGAGGCTACTAAGTAACACAGGGGTACACTGATACTGCATCCACCTAACGACATCAACATAAGCACTATTATACCTCTCGTAAAGGTGGAGTTATGATATAGGCATAGCAGGTGACTTACTTTGGCAGAAGCAGTATTGTAGTGTAGACACTGACATAATTAGATCCATGTAAGCCACCTTGCATTAACCTAACTCTGTAGTGTAAACAAGGCCTTTGTTTTTGGCAGTAAAGAACAGTAAGCTTGTCAGAATGAAGAACATCACTGAAATGTGTCATAACAAAATATGTAGCCTACATAGAAAGCTATGAAATTACAGTATAAAATAAGAAATATAAATAATTTAGTAGAAAATCAACATCTATGTATATAACAAATGAAGTAATAGAAGAATAGAGTGTGCACCTCAGTGTTTGCAAGATGGTGGGATTACTTACAGAAATTACAATTAATAAATTTCCAATTACAAAACCGGAGGGTTAGGGGAAATCATATTACTGGAAGTCCAAAACAGTATTAAATGTTATAGGAATGTACAACTGTTTTAAGTATATGGATTCTTGGAAAGAGGTAACAGGAAAAATATGAAGTTAGTGGATGCTAAAGGCTCAGAAACAAAAAAGCAAATTAAAAGAACCCAAAATGTAGTTATTTATTTAATTTAATGACTTTTGGATGTATAACATGATTTTTTGAATTTTTGTGGTTATCAGGTCTATCTGGGGGTTGTAGATCTATAGTAGAAATTTACATTTGAGAAGGTTTCCATACAAGATAGTATAATGCCCTTAGGGTCAGATTTTTAAAGGGATTTAGGTGACTAGTGGGATTTTCAAAAGCAACTAGGTGCTTTCAACCTTTAAAAATCTGGCCTGTGGCGAATATTTGGGAGCCACGTTCTACACAGAAGTTGTGACACTTTCTTCAAGCATTAGAATGTTGGATAGAGAGATAAAATAACAGTTGATAAAGGCAATCCCCATTAGTAGCTCAAAGGAAATTGAAGAAGTTTTGACAACAACCCAGGAAATCCGTCAGCCTTAGCAGCTTGTGTATGAAAACAAAACAAAAATTTTGAATTAAAAGCTCCCAATCCAAACAGGAAGTGCTCTCCTAGAAACACTGTGAGAGGTGAGCGCTGAAGCGGCTAGCAACTATTAATATTTTCAATGTTTATTTGCTATTAAAATATAAATTCAATGGCACTGGGGCCTCCATCTGCACAACGTTAATGAAGGTAAAGGATGAAGCGCTAAGAATAATAAAAAAAATTAACAAAATAATTTAAAGCCACAAAACTACAGTTACAGTGGATTACACAACAAAGGCAGTCCAGTTATTTTTGCAACCATTGCAGATGGCTCAGCCCATCTGAGGTACCTGTTACCCCCTCTGCCTCTCTAATCGTGGGGTTTTCCCCTCTCCCACTGTCTGGCAGAGCCGCTACCCCATTCTCAACCCTGTCTTCCGCACCCTGTCCCTGATTTTACTCCTTACCGCCCCCCCTTCACTGCTTCACCAACTGTTTGACCCTCCTGTGAAATCAGATTAACCATTGCACAGACTCCGCCTACCTTCTCCTATTCGCCCACCGCTTGCCCTACACACTTTTAACCCCCTGTGAACGCAAATGCAAGGAGCACAATTCCCCACCCAAGGGCGGGCAGTGGCTTCAAATAGATGTTACTGAGCATGCCTAGTTCCCATAATGCGCATGCTCAGAAAGAGCAAACTATTAATTGGTTTTAGACAGGTTGTAACATTACGCTGGGGGCAGATCTGCACTAACCCCCCCCCCGTGCCCATCCCGGGGGGGGACTTTCTGCGGGGGCTGGAACCAGCCCCTGAGGCAGCCCCGGGCTCTGCCGACAGCAGCCCCTGAGCCAGAGCCTGCAGGTGAGGGGAGAGACCCGGGGGAAAGGGCTGGGGCCGGGCAGGAAAGTGACTCTGCACCAGTGGCCCCTCCTTGCCCCAGCTCCGCTCCCGGGCGGGGTCTGCGAATCCCAGAGCTGCTGCCCTCCCTGACCCCCCCCCCCCCCGGCTCTGCCCCCCTGAGCGCCTGCAGGAGCCGAGCCAGCTCCGGGAGAGCGAACGCCCCGGGCCGGGCCAGGACCGAGACCGAGAGGAGAGTGGGTGGGAGGGAGACAAGGGGAGAGACTGGCAGGGGCAGCAGGAGCAATCAGTGGGGAGGGAGGTCCTGGCTCCCAGCCTCACCCAGCTCCTTTCCCTGCAGCCCCCCGGGGCAGATTGACTTTCCTGGGACAAGATGAGGAGCAGCGAGAGGAAAAGCCAGTTCCTGCCTCTGCCTGGTCCCTGCACTGCTGGGGGGATGCGCTGCCCTGAGGACAGTGACAGGGGGGATCCCCCAGAGCGGCTCCTTTGGTTCTGCACCTTTCCGTATAGCTGGAGTGCACAGTGACACTGACAGTTAGTGTTGGCTGCACAGTTTCATTCTAAAAGGACCTTTTCGGTTGCTTATAAAATGCTCAAAGTTACTAGATGGACCTCGTGTCTGATCTATTTTATGAACTTTCAGAAGAACCACTTAACCCGTTTTTGTTGGATGGGGTGGGAGGAAATTAAAAACTAATCATTTTCTGAAGAGCTCTAGCACCTTAAACAGTTTTTCTAGAAGTTTTACAGTTGATGGAAAGAATTCCTAAGGTCAGACACTGTCATCTCTGTAGTCTGGTAAAAATCTGTTATGATGTATGTATGTTAGGAGGGTTGAATAATTATCCATTGTGCATACTCACTGATTTTGTTTTCATTCAATACAAATTTTTTTTAACTTACTTGGGATCCACTTCTACCAGCATTTACACACCTGCTTGTCTTTGAACATATGAGTGGTCTTACCGACTTCATTTATTTCTGTTACTGGGAGGATTTAACAGTGTCTCGGTAGACTTAATCCTTGTGGGAAGGTCTATCTGGCTCTGCCCTGCAATAGAATCATAGGACTGGAAGGGACCTCAAGAGGTCATCTAGTCCAGTCCTCTGCACTCATGGCAGGACTAAGTATGATCTACACCATCCCTGACAGGTGTTTTTCTAACCTGCTCTTAAAAATCTCCAATGATGGAGATTCCACAATAAAGAGACCAAGGCCAAGATCTTTAAATAGAGGAGTCTAAAATTAAGTTTGTTTTATATTCACACACCTGATTGCAAAATTGCTGGGCACTCGGAATTGAACCCCAATGTTACGTGCTCACGGTCTTAAAAATCAAGCAACTTACTGAGATGAATGAATATGGATTTAAGAGCTTAACTTTTAGGTTGCGTCTTTTTTAATATCTTGGCTCCAGTATTTGGCCTGGTAGAATCTAGAACAGGGGCAGGCAAACTTTTTGGCCTGAGGGCCGCTTCGGGTTTCGTAAATTGTATGGAGGGCCAATTAGGGGAGGGGGTCGTGGCCTGGCCCCCACCTCCAGTCTGCCCCCCCTGGACTCCACCCCCATCCAACCCCCCCGTTCCCTGATGGCCCCTCTGGGACCCCTGCCCCATCCATACACCCCTGCTACCTGTCCCCTGACTGCCCCTGGACCTCTGCAGCCCCATCCAACCCCTCCTCTCATTCCTGATGGCCCCCCCGGGACCCCTGCTCCATCCAACCACCCCTTCTCCCTGTCCCCTGATCCCCTGGAACCCCTGCCTGCCCCCTGCCACCCCATCCAACCCCCTCTCCTTCCTGACTGCCCCCGGGACCTCTGCCCCCATTCAACCCCGTTTCCCCCCTGACCACCATCCACACCCCCGCCTCCAACCACCACCCCGAACTCCCCTGCCCTCTATCCAACCCCCCCTGCCACCGCCACCACACAGCACAGAGCACCAGGTCCGGCCGGGCTCTGCAGCTGCGCTGCCCCAGGAGCTCGCTGCCTCAGGAGCTCACAGCCCCGCCGCCCAGAGCATTGCGCCGGCAGCGGAGCGAGCAAGCTGAGGCTGCAGGGGAGGGAGGAGAGCAGGGGAGGGGCCGGGGGCTAGCCTCCCAGGCCAGGAGCTCGGGGGCCAGGCAGGACGGTCCCGTGAGCCGGATGTGGCCCGTGAGCCGTAGTTTGCCCACCCCTGATCTAGAACTTGTCTTTAGAGAAAGAACCTATTGGGAATCAGAGTGTGCGATAGATTAAAGCCCCTTCTAAAACTTCCCTAGTCACCCTGCTCTCGTGGATAAATGTGAATGTTATTTTGCAGCCTGATTCTAGATTGTCCCATCATTCTGGGGGATGAAGAAGGGAAATGTCTGAAGTGGAGCTGGTGACTTTTGAAGAGGTGGCTATGCATTTCATCAAGAGAGTGAGCAAACTTTGCCGGACCCCAGCCAGAGAACCCGCTACAGGATCATTATGCAGGAGAATTATGAGATTTCAACCTCGCTGGGTAAGGATTCCTGTCCCCTCGGGCATTACAAGCTGGGAGGTCTCTGAAGCATCTGGGTCTGCTTCTGTGCAGGGTTCTTCACTCATCCCTCATATGTCAGGGGGATCAGCCCCTGTAGTCATCAGATCCTGTGTGCAAGACACTGTCCCCAAGAGACAGTCAATTCAGGGGCATCATGATGGTGCTACTTTTCCTGATGACAAAGGCTTTGACATAGGACAAACTCATCATCTTCCCCACCACCACTTCCCGAAGCAAGTTCCATCCTCTGGAACCTCTAACCCCTCTTCTGCCTCATAGATGGACAAATGGCTCATGACTCAGCTCTGCTTAAGTCCCCAGTGGCCAGATTGTCAGATGTTCTTCACCTTCATCTTATCTGTGATCTGCCTCAGCCAGCTGCGTTAGCGGAAGGCCCCAGATGTTTGATCAATGCCCTTCCTGGGTGGTGGAAGAGAATCGAAGTCACAGGGCTGGGACTGGTTGCCATTAGCTCCTCCAGGGCTACCTCTTCTGCCCATATGCTCAGGGTGACCATACGTCCCACTTTGTCCGGGACAGTCCCTTTTTTTAGCCCTGTTCCGGCCATCACGACTTTTTTGGCAAAAGACGGCATTTGTCCCGTTTGCTCTTGCCAACTTGATCAGTTGATAAGAGCAAATTGGACAAATGTCCACTTTTGTCAAAAAAGTGGGGTGCAGAAGAACATGTGAACAGGCAGTGCTTGGGCAAGCAGCGATGCCAGCCCCAACCTCATGCAGGGGGCAGACAGGACTTGGGCGAGCAACAACACCAACCCCACACGGGGGGGTGGGAGTGGGCAGGGTTCGGGTGAGTGGCTCAGGCCAGGCCCATGCAGCGGGGTGGGTGGGATGGCTTGGGCCAGCCCCATATAGTGTCCCATTTTTCCTTTGGGAAATATGATCACCCTATGCTGAACTCTTGGAAGACGGGTGTTGTTCCTGGTATCCTTTCCTGGTCGTGGTTTATCTCTGTAAAATAGTTCCTCACAGTGAAAGGGGCTGAGTTCTGGAGGAGAGTTTATGAAGTAATTTATGGGCTGGAAGAGTTCTGTGGGATGTACTAATACAGTAGGAAAACAAGTGAGAAAAGCTGGTCTTGTGATTCAGGCACTGCATTGGGTCATGTGGGAGACCTGTGCTCAAACTTCTGCTTCTATCTAGAACTCCCAGTCTTAGCTCTTGTAAGTCATTGTAGGCTTATGTTCTTGAAGGGTCCCAAATGAGTGAGGTGTCCATCTTGCAGTGACTTGGATGTCTGGATTTCTTCAAAAGTCCCTGTTTTAAGCCATTTAGGCCTCAATTCTCTCTCTGTCAAGTGGAGAGAACAATCCATACTTTGCTATCTTGTCTGCTTAATTTAAAAGCTCTTTTGAGAAGGGTCTCTCTCTCACTAGGAGTATGTGGTACCTTGTAGAAGAGAAAAGATGATCTAGTGGATAGGGCTTTCAACTGAAACTTGGGAGATGTGAGTTCAATTTCCTGCTATAGAATCATAGAAATGTAAGGCTAGAAGGATCTTGCAAGGTCATCAAGTCCAGCCTCCTGCACTGAGGCAGGACCAAGTAAACTTAGACTGTCCCTGACAGGTGTTAGTCCAACCTGTTCTTAAAAACCTCCAATGATGGGGATTCCACAGCCTCCCTTGGAAGCTTGTTCCAGAGCTTAATTACCCTGATAGTTAGTTAGTTTTCCTAATATCTAATACAAAATGTCTCTTGCTGCATATTAAGCTGGATTACTTTTTATCCTGCCTTCAGTAGACACAGAGAACATCATCCTCTTTATACATTTAGTTGGGGATTGATCCTGCTTTGAGCAGGAGTAGGACTAGATGACCCCCTGAGGTTCCTTCCAACCCTGATATTCTATGATTCTATAAACAGCCCTTAACAGTCTTCACATATGATGTCAGGTTTCCCCTCAGGTATCCTCTCTCAAGATTAAACATGACCAGTTTTTTTAAAATCTTTCCTCACAGGTCAGATTTTCTAAACCATTTATGATTTTTCCCCCTCTCCTCTGGACTCTCCAATTTTTCCACATCTTTCCTGAAGTGAGATGCCCAGAATTGGGCACACTACTCCAGCTGAGGCCACACCAGTGTTGAGTAGAGTGGGACAATTATCTCCCGTTTCTGATATGACACTCCATTCAATGCATCCCAGAATTATAATTAGCACTTTTTGGGGGGAGCAACTGCATCACATTGTTGATTCATGGTATGCGAAAGACTTCCTCCATGATGTTGTGCAAGTCACTTAGTCACATTTTTAAAAGGTGTTCAGGAGCTTAAAGATGTGGATAAGTGCTTAGGTGCCTAACTCCCCTTGGAGGCCCAAGATGTGAGGTGGGTGAACTCAGAAAGGGGACAAAAATGGTGCTAACTCTGTAGTTGTGACAATGACATTCCTGAGTTTCCAAGGATGGAATATGATGGTGGCTGCTGCTCCTTATTCATGGATTAGCAGGATTGTGTGTCTATGTTTGAACTGAGAAGGGACAAGAATGGTTACTCTATCTTTATGGGTCTTTGTTGCCCAGAGTAACACAAGAGGATGAGTTGAGCGATCCTTGCAAAATGGAAAGTTCTCCTTTCTACCTGTAGTAGACCCCCAACAAAGTCAGCCTTGTTTATCACCACTGGGGACAACTTCTTGTTTTAGAATGTGGGGGAAGTAAGCAAGGGTTAGCCATTTGAGATAAGATTCTAACAGGGAGGAACTTGGTTGTGAATCTGATCATGAAATGATAAATTTCATGACTCTAAGAAAAGGAGGAGTGAGGAGCAGAGTAAGGACAATGGACTTAAAAATAAAGCAGACTTTAACAAACTCAGAGAACTGGGAAGTAGAGTCCCATGGGAAGAAAATCAAAGGGAAAAAAGGAGTTTAGGAGAGCTGGCAGTTTCTCAAGAAGACAATATTAAAGACACAACAAACTATCCCAACACGAAAGATAGGAAGAAAAGTAGGAGGCCAATATGGCATGGAGCCTGCTCACCGCTGCTGTTGTGAGCATTGTAAACACTTCGCGCGTTATCCTGCAGTATGTGCAGACCCTGCAAAAGAAGGCGACGACAGCCTGATCGCAATAGTGATGAGGACATGGACACAGACTTCTCTCAAAGCACAGCCCCTGGCAATTTGGACATCATGGTGGTAATGGGGCAGGTTCATGCCAGGGAACGCCGATTCTGGGCCCAGGAAACAAGCACAGACTGGTGGGATCGCATAGTGTTGCAGGTCTGGGATGATTCCCAGTGGCTGCAAAACTTTTGCATGCGTAAGGGCACCTTCATGGAACTTCATAGAATATCAGGGTTCGAAGGGACCTCAGGAGGTCATCTAGTTGGGGGGAGGGATAGCTCAGTGGTTTGAGCATTGGCCTGCTAAACCCAGGGTTAAGAGTTCAGTCCTTGAGGGGGCCACCTAGGGATCTGGGGCAAAATCAGTAATTGGTCCTGCTAGTGAAGGCAGGGGGCTGGACTCAATGACCTTTCAAAGTCCCTTCCAGTTCTAGGAGATAGGATATCTCCATTAATTTTTTTTTTTTAGTCCAACCCCCCACTCAAAGCAGGACCAATCCCCAACTAAATCATCCCAGCCAGAGCTTTTGTCCAGCCTGACCTTAAAAACCTCTAAGGATGGAGATTCCACCACCTCCCTAGGTAACCCATTCCAGTGCTTTATCACCCTCCTAGTGAAAAAGTTTTTCCTAATATCCAACCTAAACCTCCCCCACTGCAACTTGAGACCATTACTCCTTGTTTTGTCATCTGCTACCACTGAGAACAGTCTAGATCCATCCTCTTTGGAACCCCCTTTCAGGTAGTTGAAAGCAGCTATCAAATCCCCCCTCATTCTTCTCTTCTGCAAACTAAATAATCCCAGTTCCCTCAGCCTCTCCTCATAAGTCATGTGCTCCAGCCCCCTAATCATTTTTGTTGCTGTCCGCTGGACTCTTTGTCCACGTCCTTCTTGTAGTGTGGGGCCCAAAGCTGGATGCAGTACTCCAGATAAAGCCTCAACAATGTCGAATAGAGGGGAATGATCATGTCCCTCGATCTGCTGGCAATGCCCCTACTTATACAGCCCAAAATGCCATTAGCCTTCTTGGCAACAAGGGCATACTGTTGACTCATATTCAGTTTCTCGTCCACTGTAACCCCTAGGTCTTTTCTGCAGAACTTCTGCCTAGCCATTCGGTCCCTAGTCGGTAGCAGTGCCTGGGATTCTTCCATCCTAAGTGCAGGACTCTGCACTTGTCCTTGTTGAACTTCATCAGCTTTCTCTTGGCCCAATCCTCTAATTTGTCTCGGTCCCTCTGTCTCCTCTGTACTGTGTGACTTGCTTCACCTGCCCTGAAGTGCAAGAATACCAAGATGAGAGCAGCCCTCACACTTGAGAAGCGAGTGGCGATAGTCCTCTGGAATCTTGCAATGCCAGACAGCTACCAGTCAGTCGGAAATCAATTTGGAGTGGGTAAATCTACTGTGGGGGCTGCTGTGATCCAAGTAGCCAACACAATCACTGAGCTGCTTCTATCAAGGGTAGTGACTCTGGGAAATGTGCGGGTCATAGTGGATAGCTTTGCTGCAATGGGGTTCCCTAACTGTGGTGGGGCGGTAGACAGAATGCATATCCCTATCTTTGGACTGGACCACCTTGGCAGATAGTATATAAACCGGAACGGGTACTTTTCAATGGTGCTGCAAGCACTGGTGGATCACAAGGGACGTTTACCGACATCAACGTGGGATGGCCAGGAAAGGTGCATAACGCTCACATCTTCAGGAACTCTGGTCTTTTTGAACAGCTGCAGGAAGGAACTTACTTCCCAGACCAGAAAATTACTATTAGGGATGTTGAAATGCTTATAGTTATCCTTAGGGACCCAGCCATACACAAGCGCCCTGGACAGTAGTAAGGAGCAGTTCAACTATAGGCTGAGCAAGTGCAGAATGGTGGTAGATTGTGC